TTACCACGCTCACGGTTCAACTTTGGAAATGATCATGCAGACAATGGACCCCGGACTAGGTGCATTCCAATAAGTCTTCCTACCAATATGACCATGTTTCGAAAACAAGGTCAAACAACCTCTATGCCACGAAAGGAGACTGCGACCACACAAAAGGCCACACCATCTTGGTCTTCATTCATACTCCTCTTGTCTTTCAAGTTGACAGTCTCAACTAATCCTAAATTTATAGACAGTTGTATATGTCTATGTAGGTTGATAACCTTCCTAGTCAGCCACCTCCCGCATACACTGGTGAACAACTGATATTGTGATCCCAAGCTCGAATGTAGATCATTAGCGTAGCACGTTTAATGAGACACAATTTGCAAGTTTCTGACCTTCAATTTACTTTACCACAGGTGGACCCGCGCCAGTCAGATTCCGATTTTGACTTACACTGCAATCGCCTCTCCTTGGCTTCCCTTCGCCCTGTATAATCCTCTTTTTCGTGATGTCTCTTCCTGTTGTTGACTAGATGTCCTTGTAGACACAATGGGTAACTGGGTTTCGATAAATTTCCTGAGATAACATTGTTGGGAAGACCTTTATTTCGTATGAAGGTGCACGAAGAAGAGATTCGTAGGTTGATCCCACTAGAAGACGGTGGCTGAATCTCGTTGTACTGCAGCCGTTTGGCCTTACTACGACGTTCAGGTTGACACAGTCCACGAGACATCTTCCCTCGATTCGGATGAAAACCGGCTGAGCTTTTGTCCCTCAAATGATGGACATCATCATATCTGGAACTCATTCTTGTAAAAGTCTCACGTTAACAAACGCCAAGTCAATAAGACTATCCGACTCTATCTTGCCTCTTATATATACTCATAGCTAGAAACGAAAATGAATAGGAATAGATAAATATAGGATGGTTTGGCTAATTATCTTTCACATATTTCGTATATAAGTGGAGTTTCATTTCTACCATACTGGCCTTGCTACTTTTGCTCGAGTGTGCGTGCGTGCGTGCGTGTGCGTTAATGTCTATACGCAATACCGGTCGTAAATGCGAATGATCAAAAAAGGCTAATGTCAAGGTTTGGTAATCAAGGCCCAATAACCCAAGAAACAAGCCTTAACCGAGACTGCGTAAGTCCGTAAACAAGTATGGTTGATATAATGATATGTTAGCTTGTAAGGATGTAATACAAGTTACGAAACCACCTGTCCTAACCTCTTAGCCTAGGGTCATTAACGTTTAACCACCCAAGGGAAGGAATGACTAGGGCTGCGTAATCTGGCATGCCTGGTTTGTTTGATGAGCTTAATCCTACATGTTGGACGAGTGTGAGTGAAGTTAGAACCATCACTGAGCAGACAAGTTGAGCCATCCTCTTTTGGATGACGGCCCAACTGCCCTTCTTTTT